AAATTAGAAAAATAAAAATATTTTATGTTTATCCACATATTTACTATTTTTCAGCAATTGTTATGGCTTTGTATAGGTTTGACATTATATTGGTATCATTTTTTTATTCCTTTAGCATTTCTTGCAGTGAAAGTCTACTGACAATGAATTCTGTCAGCTTCTACTTGAAGAAGTCTTTCACCTCTGACAGGTTTTTCTCCCTTATGTGACTTTAAAGATGTCATTCCATTGTTTTCTGTCCTGGATTATTTTACACAAGAAATCTATGTTAATTCTTATCTTTATTTTTGTACATGTGATGTATCTTTTTTCTTCCAGTGGCTTTTAAAATTTCCCCTTCCTCACAGATTTCAAAAAATTTTAGCACAAGGTATCGTGATGTGGTTCTCTTTGTGTATATTCCACTGTTGAGCTTCTTGGATCTTTAGGCGTACAGTTTTCAGAAAATTTGGAAAACCTTCAGCTGTTATTTCTTCAAATATTTTTTTCTACATGACCACCCCCCCTCTCCTTTGGGGCTCAAATATGCATATATTAGACTGTTTGATATATTTTCACAGTTCATTGAAGTTCTATTAATTTTTAAAATCTTTTTTATTCCTATGATTAATTTTGGAAAGTTTATGTATTCAGTTTTTTAAAATTTTTTTCTTTGCTGGTCTAATCTCCTATTATTCCAATATAGTGACTTTTTAAATTCAGATAATGTATTTTTAACTTTTAAATGTTTAGTTCTTTTTAATGTCTTATTTCTCTCATTATTTTCATCTTTGTTTAACTTTTTGAACTTATTTAATTTAGCTATTTAATTAATAACTGCTAATTTGAATATTTCTGTAATTTCTGAATTTGTTTTTAATTGAATGGTTTTCTCTTGGTTAAGGATATTTTCCTACTTCTTAGCATGTTTAATAATTTTTTATTGGATGTTAGACATTGTGTGCTGTGTTTCTGAAAGTCTGGATTTTGTTGTTTTCCTTTAAAGAATGTAGAATTTTGGTTTTGTCAGCATTTAAATTACTTATAAATCAGCTTGATTTTTTAGTCTTCTTTTTAAGTATTGTTGGGATGGATCTATACTACCCTTTATTCCAGGGCTATTTTAGTGCCACTATTTAGTCATGAAACTTCCTGGGTCTCTGTTGAATGCCTGTTGTTGTTAACAAGGCCTCTCCTATTTGATTGGTCAGAACTTGAATACCTCCCTACCCTGAGTGAGCTCTGATAATTGTTTAGCCTGCATTTTGTGGTAAGTAGAATTTTATGACGACCCCAAAAGACACTCACCTTTGTATAGTTGCCTCCAATTAAGTTTGGGAAGAACCTCTGAATATGATCATTCCTGTGATTACATTACTTTATATGGCAAAAGGAAGGTTATCCAAAGTGGGCCTGACTTCATCTGGTGAGTCCTTTAAAAAAAAAAGATTTCTCTGACTGATTACAGAATAAAAAGTCTAATATCTGAAAAAATTGACTCATATATTTAGTCCAGATATCTAGTTGTTTATAGTGGGACGGCAAATCTGGTACCGGTTACTATATCATGGAGTTTTTAAGTGAACAGTGGTAGTGAATTCACTTGCTTTGGAAGGTATTAGAATAGCTTTAACTAGAACCTTCTTTCTTGGGCATATCCACCATCAAGTGTGCTTATTTCACAGGCTAAATAAACAAATCAACGGTATCCAGATATTTATACTTTATCATTACCAATATTCTATTTCCTTTGCCTGTGAATAAAAATCCTGCAGAATTTTTACATATAATGAAGTCACTAGGCTTCTTGAGCTTCCCAAATACTGCTGTTATTAGCCAGTCTTTAAAATTAGGGGATACTGGTTTGGAAGGAAAGGATTTGAAAGATACTATCTAACTATTATATATCCCCAAAGTATAAAAACTATCCTTTTAAAACTTTTATTAAGTTATTTGGAAATATTTCATATTAATGAAGTACAAAGAGAATAATACAGTAAACTTTAATATGCCCATCACCAACTTAAAAACTAAAATAGTATCAAGACAATTGAAGCCCTTGTGTCCTTTCCCCAGTCTCTCTCCAGAGGGACCTGCAAACAGTATTATTAATTCCCGTGCATTTCTTAATATTTTACTTTATAAACCTGCATTCTTAAATTTATCTTTGCATGTTTTGAAATTTATTTTAATGCCAAAAATACCATTCTTTTCTGGTTTCCTTTTTTTTGTTTAATGTTTTGTTGTGAAAATTAAAACTGTATATGTGCTTAGCATTCCATTGTATGAATATAGCAGAATTATTTATACAGACAGCTATTAAGAAACATATAGATTGTTTCAACTTTTTTGAAGCCATGGAATGCTGAAATGAATTTTCAATAGATGTGACTGATATTCACATGTAGCGGCAGCTTTTCGCTCCAAGGTTTGGTGGCAAAGGAATAATTACTTGTAACACATGGTGTTTAGAGAGAAAGGGAGAGACCAAAGTCTAAAGGAGAAAATGGCCTCCTCAGCTAAGGGCTTTCCTGTATTTATTACCAAGGATACATGTAAGAAGTCAGGGAGTAAACAAGGATGCAGAAACTTAAGTGAGCATAGATAGCTCTTTGCAGGTAAGGAACAAGATATGTAGATATCAGCTGATAATTCTCAGAACAGAGAACTTAGCTGGAGGACAAAGGTCTGGGCCGTTTGCTAACTTCTTTCACATCTGTACACGTCAGCTGCTTTCAAGTGAACTTTGCACACAGCAGATAAGCAGCTTCGGGTAGGCGGTTTCGCCTGTCCTTGACTTTGCTCTGCTCACTATCTTTCCATCCATCCATCCTTTTTTCTAGGTCCAGCCCCCACAATGCATGTATGAGTTTCTCTAGGGAATACCCTTTATAGTTAAGTCACTAAGTAAATAGAGTATATACATTTTTAAATTACTATAGACCATCCACAACTTACAATGGTTTGACTTAAGATTTTTCAGCTACAATGGTGTGAAAACAGTATGCATTTAGTAGAAACCATACTTCAAGTACCCATACAGTCATTCTGCTTTTTGCTTTCAGCGCAATATTTACATGACATGAACACTTTATTATAAAATAGGCTTTGTGTTAGATGATTTTGCCCAGTCGTAGGCTAATATAAGTGTTCTGATCACATTTTAGGTAGCCTGGGCTAAGCTATCAAGTTCAGTATGTTCAGTGTACTAAATTCATTTTTGACTTATGATACTTTCAATTTGCAATGGGTTTACTGGACATAACCCCATTGTAAGTCAAAGAGCATGTGTAGATATCATCAATTGTTCTTCAAAGTGGTTGTCCAGATTTGCGTTCCCACCATACGCTTTCAGGTTGTTCAGGTTGTTTCATCTTTGTAACACTTAGTATTGTCAGAATTAAATTGTAAATTAAATTAAATTGTAAGTAATTATACTGATGAGAAATGCTATTTCACTGTGGTCTCAATTTGCATTTCTCCGGTTATTGGTTACATAGGACACCTTTTAATATGTTCGGTGGCCAGATTGGCATAGCGATTATTATTCCTCAATGTGATCACTCCAATTTCTCAAACTCTATTATACCTGACATAGAGATCCAAGCATCTGAAGTTCTAAGATACGATATAGAAAATTTTCCAAAGTATGAAATTATTCCTTGAGTCATTTAAGTTATTTCTGGTTATCAAAATATGATTCTTGCCAACACTTCTATTGTGTCATTCTCAGTTGTGGCAGTCTCTCAGCTTCTCCCACTCTGGTTTTTCTGGCTGTAGAAAGAATGACAATAAACCTTAAGTCATTGATGCTAAAGACAGGCTGAGTTAGGAGGAGACAATAGAACATTATTCTAAGACTGACTAATAATAGCAAGATTTAAGAAACTCCAAAAAAGTCTAAGTTAACAATTCAAGCGTTCCAGTGCTGTGCTAAGGGATGGAACCATGTACTTTTTAAGATCTTTCTTCCCTTGTGAGGATCCTATCCACAGAGCTCTCAGACTCTTTCCATTGCCAACGTGGAAACTTCCCCAAAAATCCTTGTTATGTTTTCTAAAGATGTAATGAATAAAATTGTAGCTTTTACAAATATATCATCAGTCAACTATTTCCAGTAGAAGAAGCCATAAAATCCCCCCTGAATCTATCTTTGTTGCTAAGTGGTTATGACTTTGAGCCCAGGGGATACATTTTCTGCCCTTTCCATAATTTGAGTTATCATTTGCCGAGCTGTATTGCAATATTCTGCCTCAGTGTTCTCCCCCTATGATAGTCCAAGGAAAACATAGCTGATGTCGGTGATTGAATTTGTAATAGATTTGGGAAGGTACAACCAATAGCCTTTTTGGACAAAATGGTGTGGGTATCTATGTTCATATTACTTTGGAAAGGTTTTATTTCATAAATATTGAAAACCAAGGAGGAAGTCATTTGGTTCAACAGAAAATTGCTCTGTATCAGAGTCTTGAGTATTTTGTTCATTTGATTTCTTTATGATTTGAGGCCCAGCTTTCTACCATTTCCTTTGCTGGAAAAATGTCTAAGTCTTAAAAAGATTAAAGCCTACCTAGGAAATGTTTCTTCACATTTGGACCGCATTGTCTTGTTTGTTATTCAGACTACCCTCACCCTTTTGTTTTCACTTCTTAGATGTTTAACAAAGCTCACTCATGAATATAACCAGCCATAGACATGATGCTTTAAAATAATGGACATGCTAGTTTGATAACAGATACTGCTTTCTGTTGGGCCTATTTAGATGTGTGTGCATGTGCATGTTTTGCACTTGTCCTGAGGTGAGTGAAATTTGGAAGTAGTGTTTTCAAGATGAATTTTCTCACCTATAATAGCAAGTTGAAAATGCCTTACTCTTTTCTGTTTGTGGGACCAGCTCTTTAAATGCGCTTCTGGTCCTTTCTTACCATGTGCCGTGCTGCAAACGTGCGGTGCTTTTGCTATTCCACAGCTCGGGTCTCTGCAGAGCGTACTGACTGACGCCGGCTGTTGTCTACCCACAGGTGATCCAGGCTGTCTTTTTTGGCATCTGCGTGCTAACGGATCTTTCCAGTCTTCTGACCAGAGGAAGTGGGAACCAAGAGCAAGAGAGGCAACTCAAGAAGCTCATCTCTCTCCGCGACTGGATGTTAGCTGTGTTGGCCTTTCCTGTGGGGATTGTGAGTATGGTATAGAATGTATTTGGCCACAAAAGAAACTTGGGTTTAATTTCAGACTTCTAAGAGGAAAAAAAAAAGGCCTCATTATAGGGGCTTTCTGGATTAGTTTGCTAGCGCTGCCAGTACTACAGACTGGATGGCTTAAACAGCAGAAATGTATTTTCTCACAGTTCTGGAGGCTGGAAGTCCAAGATCAAGGTGTCAGTAGAGTTGTTTTCTTCTGAGTCCCCGCCCCTTGGCTTGCAGGTGGACGCCTTCTCCTTACCTCCTCACGCGGCCTTTTCCCTGTGCCAGCGAGCCTCTGGGGTTGCTCCCCCTTCTCACAAGGTTGCCATTCCTGTGGGATTAGAGCCCCACCCTCATGACCTCATTTAACCTTAATTACCTCTTTAAAAACCCTGTCTTCAAATACAGTCACATTCTGAGGTTCTGGGGGTTAGGACTTCTGTATATGAACTTTGTCAGAGACACAGTTCAGCCCATAACTGTTTCTTAAGCAGCCCAAACTTGAAATGTATGGTCCTTAAATCGACCATTCTAGTAGCGTTGAACTTGAGAAAGGAAATCAGTATTACCTCATGCTTCTTCACTTACCCAACTGTGCCATTAGCTCATATCACTTAAGTAAATGCCGCTTAATGTTTAGGTCTGTTCTGGCTTCATTGATTTTCATTGTTTTCAGTAATGTTCCCTCCATAGCTCAACTTCCTTCACAAGTCTGTTAATTTTCCATTGTCTGCATATAAACCATGTTTCTTTAAAGGCCCTCTGAGACTCTATAGATTTTAAGCTGTGTGTAGTAGCCAGGAGAAGGATGAGCAAACTCTTGTCTATCTCAAATTGTGAGGATAAGTAAGAGTGTGTTACTTAATTCAAATTTGTACCTTTCATTTGCCAGCTGATTTCTGGGGAAAACAGAAGCCCCAGCGATGTGGGCTAATTCATAAACCAAGCCCAAGGTCCACTGTAGGAAGAGTCAGAAAGCTGTTCATAAATCCTTCCAGTGGCTCCTTGCCAGGTCTGTAGGTGGCAGAGGCCCCTACATGCTGCTCTAAGACCCAGATTGTCACTGAATTGCTTTTTCTACATGCTGAGTTGTGTTTTCTTGAGTGAATAACCCTTAGCTCTAGAGAGCAACACAGGGCCAGGAGAGCAGTATAACCTGGTCACACTTCTCTTCTCATTCCTTCATCATTGTCTTCTGAAAACCTAAGTAAATGAGTGCTCAGATTGAAGCCATCTAGTAAATCTCTCAAATTCTGTTGAGTAACATAACAGCGTTAAATGCTTTACATATCATTTAATATTTCCTTCTTTAGACTTGCCTTATGCAATTCAAATACTTTCTAATCAGAATAGTGATCTAATAAAAAATTCCCATTGCATAAAGTGTAAAGACATATTTTCTGCATGAAAGAATTATCTAGAAAGGCTAAGTCTATGTGTGTGTATAATTTGTTTTTTACTCCATACTCCCTTAGAATTTCTATAGGAGCATCATTGCCTCTAGAAGTACTCATTAACTAGAAAGAATACAGTAGTAGTGCAGTAAAAAAAAAACCAAAACAAAACAAAACAAACAAACAAACAAACAAACAAACAAACAAAAAACAGTAAATAGGAACATAAGATTAGCATGTTTTTTCTTAGCTCTGCCTTTCCGGTTATGTGGTGTCAAATTGTGTCCCTATGTGGAAATTCCCATTATGTTGTAAATCTTGCCACTCTCCTTAAAGACTCATTGCACATGCCTTTTAGGTATTTTTTTGACATCCTTTGGGGGAAATGTTTTGCACCTGCTTGAGACCTGAGGCATTTGTCAACTACTAGTGTCCTTCCTGAATTTAGCCCATGTGTGCTTCATGGCTAGTAAAACCAGTGGTGGCCTTTTTGCTTGCTTATTTGTTTTGTCACATCTGATATTTTTCTCCCTATTTCACTATTTTTGTTGTTTTGCCTATGCTTTGGAAGAAGGGAGAAGAATAAAAGTACCTTTCACCCCACCCACTCCCTTTTTAACCTGAAGTCACAGTCTCATACTCTGATGGCCTGTGTGTGCACCTGCCCTGGTGGCTAAGCTCTGACAGTGGGACTGGCCCTCAGCGCTGCACCTGGGTCCTCCCGTTCACCCGGCACACGAGGTGATCGGTGCTCTTTAAATTCATAGAAGAAACGAAAGAATAAATGAGGAATCAGAGATGTGCAACCTGCTGATTTCTTTAACTCATTTTTTCTTGCTCACTAATATTTTGTAGTCAACTATTTCAGTTTTCATAATCTTCCCAGTTATTGTGAGTCACTTTCCCCTTTATAGTAACTAGCCTATTATTCTTCATGAACTTTTTGAAGCTACTTTCAAAGAAAGTTACTTTTCTTCCCCCCTCCCAATATATTAAGAAGAGTCTTGGTCAATATTCTTTAGAAATCACTTTACATTTTTCCACTGTTTCTCCTGTTTCTATCTTATTCCATCATGTGACTTTTTGTATCTATTATATTTACCCAATTTCCCACCACATTTCTCATTCTAAAACACAGAAATTCATTTTGAGGCCAAAAAAAAAAAAAAAAAAAACCCCTGGTTAATGGCTTCTCACCAGACCCCATCAATTTTATTGCAAAGTCATATTTACAGAGGATACAAATATTGCTCTGTGTAAGCATTTTAACCCCCAATTTTTTCTTCATCAAAACATTTTGTGATTTTTTCACCTATCTTTCTTTAAGGATATTTCCCAACGTTCCTTTCCAATGTGTCTATGTCTTTGCTGTGACTTCAGAGACCTCCTCCTGTCCTTTCTGTACCTTTCTCCATTCCCTAGCTGCTCAGAAGGGTCTAGAATCCCACTGTAGTTTTATTTCTTATAGCTTAAGACTTTCTCCTTTAATAAAACATGAACCCTGCCTGGAGCGATGCCAGGAGGAATCACTTGAAGAAGCCTCATTTTTACCCTTTTTGTGGCTCCTGGCCTGGAAGGGAGATGCCCAGCCTGGAGGGCTGATTACACAGCGGAAGGATGGAATAGCATTAATATAACAGTTTTATTAGACCTGTAGGAATCTGAAGCATAGAAATGCTTGTCATGTGTGCAAATGATTAATGATAACATTTATAAGTGAACAACGTTTGCCATTTTGCTTGATGCAGTCAAAAGCCTAAATGGCGAAACACCCAAGCCCCCTCCCTGTGCCAGGGGAGCACTGGGCATGGCTCGAGCATCCTCAGGTGGAAAGTGCAAAGCTGGGAGCTGAAGCTCCTGTGGTCCCCTGAGGCCAGCCCGGCTCTGCCATGCTGACTGCTGGGGACTGCCAACCTTGCAGAGTGTGTCCCTTGCTCCTATCTACTGGCTTCTTCTGTCTTATACTTTTGTTTGTCAGTCAGAAGTTTAGTGGGAAAGCAGTGTTACTTTTTGCTTCATGGTGCAGGCAAACTGGCAATGGCTGGGCATGAAAAGGGAGCCAAGAGCAGCACCTGAATTTATCACCTCTGCTCAAATTTTCCTGAAGCAACCTCTTGGCCCTTGAGTTTCTCCTGGTGCTCCCATTAGCTTGCCCTCTATTTCTCTTTCTCTCTCTCTTACTCCAACTGCAACCGCGGCAGCCAGAGAGACACGGGTGGGTTATCTAGGATTTGCATTTTCTACACTAATGCTTCCTCCAGTAACGAGGTTAATTGAGAGTTGACAGTAATTGCTTTATGTGACATGAAGCACTAAATATGATTTTGTGACCGACCCATGGACCTAATGCATCTACTTCATGGTCTCTCTTTATCTCAGGGATATATAAAAATAATGAAACATTCCAATCAAAGATAATTGGAGAAAAGTTTTGTTTCAGCATAACCTTGAAGAAATCAGGCAGGGTTGCCGGAGTGAGCATGGCATGTATCATCCTGAATCGTGTAGATTCCCATAAATGCAAAGCTGGCCTTGATTAGTAACGCTAATGGCCGGAAACCACCACCACTCCCAAAGCCTTGCAACTCATTTTGCAGGGATAACCCATGGGAGGCTCTTCTTACCATGTGTAGTTTATTTCTGAACCCTGTCACCCTTTTAAAGAAGCATTACAAATAATTCTATGACATTATGTGGTCTGGAAGCACTGAAGTTTATTAGGAGCAATCAAACCAAGAATGTCTTTTGTCTCCTGTGAGTTTGTTGACTTTTGTGCTGGCAGATACCATTATAGTGAAGACACTAGGCTTAGGCTTTTAACCAAAAAAAAAAAAAAAGAATCTGATGAATATGAAAGTGTCCTTCTCAGAAACCCTGTATTTCCAACTGCTATCCACAGTAGCCCTTTCATGAAAAAGAACAATTATATATTTTTTTATTAATTCAGGTCTATATATCCTATTCATTTGTCACTGCTCAGCTTGAATAATGGACGTAATCAAACCTCATCACCTCCCCAGTACACTTTTGTCCTGGTGTTGCCTTGGTTGGCTTTGGTGTTGCTTTGGCTAGTTGCTCTAGCCCAGCTGCTGCTCTGCCACATCCCAGTGTGAAGATGAAGATGTCCCTCTCTGAATGGCCTGAGGAAGCCCTGGAGGTTTGGGTCTGTTTTCACCCGGGGTGGGTGTCAGGATCAAACTAGCACATGCCTGTATAAACGTTTGTGGAATTTGGCCTTCTTATCTGATATTAGTCTCAAAGCTATTTGTTAAGTAATCATTTCTGGTGTTATAATCATGTCTTATAAAGACTTGGAGAAGATTTTATATGTACCAACCTATTCTAGAAGCCTTTAAAACTTGTGTTTACTTGTAATGGGGACTATATGGTATTAATAACACTTCCTTAGGAAATATATGGAAAATGGAATTTAAAATCCCAAATGCAAACTCAAAAGAAAAGGTTTTGAAAACAATTAAAATTATTTTAATGAAAAAAATTTTAATTGTTTTCAAAAAGTGATTCCCAAGAGTTTCCATTTATTGACATACTAGCTAATTCTAAGCTATCCTTAGGAAAAATTTTGAGATGCATATAAAT